TCATTGCTACGCAAAACGAATGTTGCCAGTGGCTCAGGGTAGTCGATTATTTATATTTCATGGCATTTCCGGGTTCCCAGAGATGTCTACTCGGAGATAGACAGGTGCTCGAGGAAAGCAAGCCCTGTCCGAACAACCATAGGTGGAGAGCTTGGACTTGCATAATTTTGTAGAGGAACGTTCGGGCTACCTATACATGCAATAAAATTACTGACTTTGTACGTTAGTTTCCTGAGAACGGTACTGATGATCGTTTTTTCATATATTCGACATTATAGGATCTATGACATTTTGTTATATAGTGTAAGATCTTTTAATAATGTAATACGGCTTGTCCAGCTAATGGTCACCATTGAATCAGAAGGTTCGATGTCAAAGTAAGCCAAATCTAATTATGCTAAGTGAAAGAGCATAGTCGATAGTGTGTCGGCAGATGTCGCAACATTTTTGATGAATAAGTGTGTTAGATATATGGGGATCATCTTTTCCTTTCCTTTTAGGAGAGAAAATGACTTCGATGACTCATCAAAAAAAGTTATTTCAAACAGTTACAAACGAACACATTTACTGGAACGTTTTATACTATCCTGTACAAAAATGTTCCTTTTTTCGATGGCATTCAAGAATTATTGTGAAGTTACGACATGTCTCAGGATCGTTCTCAAACTGTCTGATTTTGTAGTGTAATTCCGTTACGAAATCTCCGAAAAGTGTTTTCTGTTAGAACTGAACTTTATTTTTCCAATAACAGGTTACATAGAGTGATAGACCTCATTTTTGTCTATCCGAATCACTATAATTTTCTTAAGTTTGCTTTATTTCTCTGTGAGAAAACGTGAAAATACTTCGGTACGGAATTACAGTGCGCGTTACATAAGTGTGCATAAAAAAATAGTTGAACTCTCGTTTTTCTTTTTTTCCACTTTCCTTGACCTTTGGCAGTCTTAATAGCATGAATAACTCAATTCTCGTTATTCTGCGACACAAGCTCGATATTTTTCGAGCAAAAGTCATGCTAAATGTCAATCAAAAATCAGTAATTCTGTCACAGTTTCAGATAAAAATTTACGTTTTTTGATTTTTATATGGCATTAACGCTGGCTGAACGAGCTCGACGTTGTCGTGAAAAGAAAAAGGCTACTGGTTTATACGAAGTTTTGAAACAAAAAGATAGAAAACGAAAGAAAGTTGCTCGTTCTAAACTTTCGCCAGCAGCTCTCGGTACATTACGTATGAAAACGAAAACAAATGTCGACAAATTTCAAGCTAAACTGAAGCAGAAACCTCCTCCAAAAAAATCGACAATCTCTGTCTTTCGTAATAAACAAGTGAAAGGAAAAGCTATGCGAAAACTTCTAAACAATTTACTGACTAACAAAGAAAAGCCAACAGAATTAGTTCGTGATATGGCAGATAAGCTGGGAATATTAGTAGAAAAGAAAAGTGCTGAACGTCCTGGAAACGCAATGGACCCCGCCGTTTAAGAAAAACAACTCCATTTGAGCTTATATTCTACAGTTTTGTAGAAGAACGGAAGGCGAATTTTTCTGTCGTCTCAGAATTTTTTCAGACCCCTCTTTATTAACAAACTTAGGCTAACAACTTTTCTCAGTTGATATACTACCAGTCTAAATGATGGATCCTATAAAATTTTATAGAAATGTTATGTAGGGCTCGCTCACATATTACTTTGTTCAGTTTTCAATGCTCGTTCAGAAACACTATGTA